ATCAGTAGGGGAATGGATAAACTATAGTGTATTAATCCAGTGAGCTACTATATAGCCATTAAAATAATCTGTTTTTTTTTTTTTTTTTTGAGACAGCTTGAGGCTCTGTCTCAAAAAAAAAAAAAAAAAGAAAACAACTTGAAATGCCCATCAGTAGGGGAATGGATAAACTATAGCATATTAATCCAGTGGGCTACTATATAGCCATTAAAATAATCTGGTTTTTTTTTTTTTTGGAGACAAAATCTCACTCTTTCTCCCTGGGTAGAGTGCCACAGTGTCATAGCTCACAGCAACCTTAAAGTCTTGGGCTCAAGAGATCCTCTTGCCTCAGCCTCCCATGTAGCTAGGACTATAGGTGCCCATCACAACACTGGGCTAGTTTTTCTGTTTTTTGTAGAGATTAGGTCTTACTCTTGCTCAGGCTAATCTCAGACTCCTGGGCTCAAGCAGTCCATTCACATCAGCCTCTCAAAGTGCTAGGATTATAGCTATGAGCCACCATGCCTGACTCTAAAATAATCTGTATTAAAATGCTTCAATATCAATAAATGGCCAGGCGTGGTGGCTCAGGCCTATAATCCTAGCACTCTGGGAGGCCAATACAATATGGTACTGCTTTAATAAATTTTAAAACAAAACAATATTATATATTGTTTATAGGTGCATATGTAGTAAAAGCATAAAAATAGGTATGTGAAGGATCCGTACCAAGTTTATTATAATGGCTAGCTCTAGACAGAATAAAATAGACTGTGGAACAGTCTGAAGCAAATATGACAAATGCTAACATTTGTTTAATCTGGGCTGAAGGTACCCAAGTGTCTTCAATGTACTATCCTGTCCTTACCTGCATATGAAAATTCATAATCTAAAAAATTTAAAAAGAAAAAGAACAAAACCAAAGTTTAGTACTTAAAAGCCTTGCTTACTTTTCTGACTGGGCTTATGGTACTTACTCTTAAAACTATATGTACCCACATTTTCCACTAATGACTGAAGAATTTAAGATTCAGAG